GTCATAGTCCTTATGTAAGTTTCTCTCTGACGAGAGGATGTGTCTGTAGTTTACTATTGCTGCTGGGCCTTGCCAGCTCAGTCATTCTCAGGTTATAGTCCCGCGGGACTCATGACCACATTTTACTGATTCAGATTCGAGACTCCCCCGACCTGGAGGGCAAGGTCCCCGTATTTGTTTGCCCCAGGGACAGGGTGACCCCGTTATACTCCAGGCACTGGGTTCACTTTCGGTCGCTTCCTACTACTTGCAGGGCTACGGTGGAGGAATCCGTGCCCGCCTCCACACGGGGTTGACTTCATGCATCTATTCCTGAAAGCTGGAATTTGTCCTGTTTGTATAAATTCGGAATGGACCGCAGAGAGAACACTGCCTCCAGCGGTTACTCTGTCATATCAAACGGAAGCAGGCGATTGGTTCTGCCCATACTTCATTCTAATAAATTGAGAAGGTAAAAATGTGAAGTTATACCTGTATTTAACTAATTAAGCATTACGCCATGAAGGCGTATGGGGGAGTGGATGGATAGAGCCACATTTCTTGACCTCGGCACCAGTTGGAGGTGAATGATCAGCTTCACGTCCCGGCCGCTTCACCCCCGAGGAAAGAGCCCCCTGTACCCACAGGATAGGAGGTTGGATGGACCCCAGAACTGGTCTGGACGACGTGGAGAAAATTCTAACCCTACCGGGACTTGAACTCCGACCCCTCGGTCATCCAGCACGTAGCCAGTCGCTATACCGACTGCGCTATTTTGGGTTAACTATTAGAAGAGGCCTCAACCTGACTTTCTGTCCACGGCGGCTGGATTCTCCTTCCCCGGGAGCAAAGGGGAAGGACGGGCAGCCGACAGTTCACCGCCATTAATGCCAAGATTAAGAATTCATGAAGCTTTACGTCCAGTTCCCTCTGCGTCTCCATAGTCCTGTGCTCGAACACAGGAACAGCATTACCATATCTGCGAATACAATAGTTTGTACTTACTCGTCTTATGTAGAATGTCCATAGATAGTCTGAGATGCAGTTTTTGTTTGCCTTGGCTGTGCCAAACCTACATTCAATCCCCGAAAATTTGGGCCCATGCATACCAATAGTCTACATGTTAGATAACAGACAGACGCCTTGTAGTATTCGCGAGGAAGCAGACTGAGTCAAATTGAAGCTCGCAGTGAAGTTACAAGAATTCATTTTGTGTGTTCATTCCTCCTGCCGAGAGAAGGCTAAGTCTGTCAAAGACAAGACATTTTCAATTCGGAATTGTTTTTATAGCCGTCCCTCGTATTAACTCCATGGTTAGCGGCCTCCATAGTCTAGGGGTAACGTTCCCGCCTCATGACTCAAGGTACGCGGGTTCAAACCCGGCGGAGGTCGTGGAATTTTTAAGGGCGGAAAAATTCAGGGGACAAGTCGTCCGGGAGGGACTTTAAGCTGTGGTTCCCATGTCGTAGATTTACGGCACGTAAAAGATCCTCATGTCTCTAGGAGACCTCTGAGCAAAATTAGGCAAAATGTTTCTCCCCTCCGGTAGATGGGGAAGTTATTGGGTACCAATGCCAGTAGAGGGCCGACCTCGCTGGCAGAAAGGGGAGAGTTATCGGGTACCACTGCCAGTAGAAGGCCGACCTCGCTGGCAGAAAGGGGAGATAGCGGGCACCAATATCGATAGGGTATGGAGACAGTAGAAATTAAAGAGGGACGAACAATAGACTATTAGTCGCGGTGCATGGGGAAACCCATCCCCTCTATACTGAATAACTGAATGAACTCCATGGTTATTATCTTAACAAGAACCGTACTGCCTGTACCTAGCACAGTGGTAACAGATTCTGCACATTCAGCACTATTGGACCTCCTTAAGATAGATTTTAATATATTAACATTCATTCTCTTTTTCTTCGTACCACGTGGATATTTTCCAGTAGACTTCTGCACTGATATTCTGTACGCATTCCTTATCTCGCCCTTCCTAGCCACATTCACAGAACACAGTAATCTCCGTCGTTTTTATGAGTATAAACTTTTGAATACTCAGTGGTGACCAGCCTACAAGGATCTGTTGTACAGCTTTGGCTTAGGCGCTGGGTTGACCACCCTTCACTGCAATATATTCTGTGTTACGAATTATTCATACAAGCCCCCATAATTTGAGGGATTCTTAAGAACCACTTAGGCAGCTTCAACATACGAAAATTTTCTGTCTCAGAACATACCTAAATATTGTTTTGGGTCCAAATTCATGGTACCCAACTAAAAATATATTTTAAATATCATCGTCATTATCTTCATGGATTAGGCGATTCGTGATCCGTTGCGACCTCTTGAAGATCACTTTGGTCCTTCCATCTGAACTCTGGGCACCCTACTTTACGACTTCTTTTGGGGCTATATTCTAAAATTTTCTACTGAATCCGTGTGTCTTACATTGGCAGAATGTGATACTTCCACGGTAATCTGGATTTTAGAATTGTTATTTACATTAAGGATAAGCGGCCTCCGTAGTCTAGGGGTAACGTTCCCGCATCATGACTCACGGTACGCGGGTTCAAACCCGGCGGAGGTCGTGGAATTTTTAAGGGCGGAAAAATTCAGGGAACAAGTCCTCCGGGAGGGACTTTAAGCCGTGGGTCCCGTGTCGTAGCTTTACGGCACGTAGAAGAACCTCATGTCTCAAGGAGACCTCTGAGCAAAATTTGTAAGGATATTTCCCGCCCAACAATAGTCTCTAACGCCTCTGGTAGATGGGGGAAGCATCTAGATACCGCTGAGCCAGTTGAGGCCGAACTCGCTGGCTGAGTCGGAACTGATGGCACGCACCAGTACCGGTAGGGTATAGAGACTGGTAGAATATCACAGGGGGACGTACAATAGATCAAACTGGTCGCGGTGCATGGGGACACCCACCCCCTCCAATAATAATAATAATACATTAAGGATATAATTATTATGTTTCTGGACATTTCCATCGTCCTGTTTTTAAATAAAAACAATAATTATATACAATTCTTTAATAGTGTTAACCTTGGCCGTTATATTGTTTGTTACGACGGACGCCAATAAAGAATTGTATATAATAACACAACAGGCTGCACGAAGTGAAAAATAATAATTTTATTAATATACCATCGTGACAAATCTAACCTAACCTTATTTATGTTAGAGGTGTTCATCTGTTCCCTTATTTTAGTATTCCTTACTCTGTCCGTCCTTGTGTAGCCTGCTCACACTCGTCAAACATTTCATTTTCTTGCAGTTTTTATTGTTGCTTAATGTTTTTTACAGTCGAGATTTCGGACCCATATGTAAGTGTAGTTACCGTCATTATTTGATAACATTTTATCTTTGTATCTTTTTTTGGTCTTACTTTTCATTTATCTCCTTGTGGTGCTGCACATTTGGTGAAATATATTGATTTTTATTAAATTATCATTTTTATTTTAAATAACACCTTTTTTTAATTCGCTTATTGGGGGGGTGGAGTCCAACTGGGTCCACTCGGCACGTCGGTCACTGATTGGCCTATTGCAGCCTGCTCCGGGTGATTATGATGATGGAGAATTTGGTGGAATGAAGATTGGCAGAGGAAACCGAAGTACTCGGAGCGAACCCGCCCCAGTGCCACTTTGTCCACCACAAATTCCACATGAGCAGACCCGGGATCGAACCCGGGCAGCCGCAGTGAGAAGCCAGCGTCTAACCGCTTGAGCTATTGCGCGGCCAACTAACAATTACAGGATAGCTCTGCTCTATATGTAGACTATTTTACAAATTTTCTATAGCGTCGCTTTCAACTATTTATGCTTACATTTGGGACACAGCACCTGTAGCGAAAATATCAGAGTGGTTTATGTGCAATATTATCAGCATTGTACCGAGAAGAAAGAAAGGCCTTGTAGTTTATACTCGTACTTGTATCCAGTGGTAAAAGACCCATGCACTTATACCGACTGGGGCGCGCGGTAGCGTAGTGGTTGAGGCACTATGCTGCAAGCCGGAAGGTCGCGGGTTCAAGTCCCGATGAGGTCATTGGATTTTTTCAGTTGACCTAATCTTTCCAGCCGCACTATGGCCCTGGGGTCGACTCAGCCTCTAACAGAAATGAGTACCAGGAATTAATTAAATAATTTCCCTGGGGAGTAAAGTGCGGTCGGCGCGTAAGACTGACAACGTTACCGCCATCTTTGAGCCGAATGTCTAGATAATGTGGGACCCTCAACGTCTCACAACCCTATGGGCCTTCACGGCCCGTTACAGGGATAGCTTTACTTTACTTATACCCACTTACCAGATCTAATCACCAAGCAGTCAACATCACATATCTCAGTCGCTATGGGTATAATTATTCCGTCATTGTGAATATACAGGGTGTCCCAGGAGGAATGGACCAAACTTCGGGAGGGTGTTCCTTATGTTAAAGTATGCCGATATAACCCAAAACACCTATGTCCAAAGTTGAACGGTTACGGAGATAATGGCCAGAGAAGTGTCAAACTTTGACCGGCGTTGCACACTTGTTGATTACAAAATACATATTAAAACTGGCAGGAATATGTGGATTCTGTAATGTTAATAATGTACGTAACATCAAACTAACTTGTGAGTGATATGAAGCCATAAAATTGAAGTACAAAATACTCGCTCGCCATGTCATAATTGTCCTTAGGGTTTCCAAGCACTATACATGACACATGAATGGCAAGCGCTGACGTAACGTGGCTGACTGCGCGTTCTGATAAAGCCAACTACATACGTACGGCTAGGGTGAATCACGGCACTCAAGGACAAACATAGATAAGGCCTCTCAGCTGAGAGGTACAGTGCGTGGACCTGCCAGAAGACCACACTTTTCTTGGGCCATTATCCCCGTAACCGTTCAACTTTGGACATAGATGTTTTGGGTTATATCGGCATACTTTAACATAAGGAACATCCTCCCGAAGTTTGGTCCATTCCTTCTGGGACACCCTGTATAGGCATTCGAAACACATGCATGAGGAACTGTGTGAATTGTACGAGGTGTTGCTCACTTTATTCTACAGTTTTATACACATTTTTACAATAGGAATGATATCTTACCCAGGAAACAATAATCATGACACGTACATGAACACGGAGATGTTGACTGTCGCCTCAGTAAAATCAACATCACTAGATCCACACGTGAACAAATAGGCCATTTATATCTTTCTGTGCCTACGATTAATTAAGCCTAATAAAATTCAGGATAAACATTATGCTTTATTACATACCAAATGAGATCTGGCGGTTATTTAATAATGTAACAGTAAATAAGTGAATGAATAGTGCCATGTTAGTGGGGAATGTGAAGAAGATGGATCGCTAATATTTTATGAGGATTCGTCGCTACTGCGTCGCCTTCTGCCTGGCCCACCTGCGTAGTTGGCAGCTGCGAGCCCCATGAGGTGCTTGGCTGCCTGGGAGCCGGAGAAGCCCCGACTCAGACCAAGGTCAAGTCCACGTTTTGAACTGGGGGAAAAAAAGTGAAACAGTTAAAACATGTAATTCTATATAGAAATTCTCACACTTTCATGTCCGTTCAAGGCTAATATGGAACTGCTTTTCGGTGCTGCGACTGTGTAGATGTAGATGTAGATGCATTGTCAACGTTTCGGAGACCCTTATTGTCTTCTTTTGCTAGGCGAAGTGACAACCCAATAGATCTGGCTGATATGTACAGAGGTTACCATCTACCTGTGAACCTATACCATCAGGAGGCGTCGTATACTTACTTCATCTCGCTAATGGAGAGAGTAAGGATCCCGAAACGTCGGCAATGAAACCTAAATATGCATTGTGCCATGTTCCATATTAGCAAGAATTTGTCACCATTTTTTTTAGATTTATTTTTATGAACTAGTATATTCATATAGATATGACTGTACAATGTTTCGTCTGTGTGCATTCAGTGCCATTGAAATTGTGAGCGTTTGAGCGGATAAATATAATTTCAGACAAGATAAGCCTAAGGACCTGATGCAGGATTATCATGATAATTACATTGTATTTCTGTCGATGGTCCTGTTTCCAGTGCCGTACGTAAAAAACTTCCACACTTATTAAAGACGCGTATTCCTATATTTAGAGCAAATTTTTAAAAAATGATCCTGGAGTGTCTGCCGGGGGGGGGAGATACTTGCGATTAACTAACTGCACGAAGGAGATTATTTCTTGGGAAACTGATAGTCGCTGAGCTAGTCAATAAAGTTCTTTGTTTTGTGGAATACGAAGGTTCATTATTGTGCTTATTTTATGTAGTGAAGAATGACATAATGCAGAATATTTTAGGGGAATTTGCATCTCGGAATGTCTGTGGAAGCCGCGATAGTCGAAGGCGACCGAGACTCTAAATCATACAGCATACCTGATGGATGCTGCAGAAACGTAAGTAATTCTTCTTGCGCGAGTATCCGGCCTTTGTTGCTTATCTAATTTTCTGAATACAGGACAACGTATGGGTACCTAATCTGTGATCCGTATATTAAAACTTATTACGTCTATTTATATTGATTGATATTTCTGTAATTATTTAATGATATAAAAAACAAGAACTCCGGTGCCTATAGTCCGCAAGCGAACTATACCGACCGAGTGACCGCCGCTTATCGGCGAAGTTAGTGACAACTTTAGCGGATAGAGGGTGTCACGTGGTCAGCGCAACGGATCCCACGGCCGTTAATCTCTGTTTTCTAGACCGGAGCTCCTCAAATATCCTCACGAGGATGAGTGAACACCGTTCCAGACCCATTACTTCTCAGAAAATCTGGCAGCGCCGGGAATCGAACCCGGACCTCTGAATCTGTAGCCAGGAACTCTGACCACTAGACCACAGAGGCGGTCTATTTAATGATATACCCATTACAATATGCCGCCAAAAATAAATGAAAATTAATGATATATTTTATGAAAATAAGGTTGGGCGGGACTTGTATCATGCTTGGGGAAAACAAGAAATGCATACAACTTTTTAGATGGTAAACCAGAGAACAAGCCATAACTTGGAAGACCTAGGCTTGGCTAGGATAATAATATTAAAGTGGATCTAGAAGAAATAGATTGTGAGAAAGTAGACGGGATTGAGCTGGCTCAGAACATGGACCGATGGATGCTCCCATGAACACGGAAATGAGCCTTCGGATTCCATGCAAGGACCTCGAGAGAAAAACCCTGCTGCAGGGATTTGGTTAGTTATTTGCTGGCGTTCTTGTCCTGTGTTAGATTTACTGGAGCGTCTGACATTTACAAGTTGTTGTCTGCAGGCGTCAGTAAGAACGACGGAAATTATCCAGTCGTGTAGTGTATTGACGCCCAGCCCTACTTCCTGCTCTCCGGCAAAGCCACAGTTTAGACAGATTGAGGTTTTCTGTGATTTTTCCCCAGTCCTTCAGACAAATACTATGATGTTATCTTAAAACATTACAGTCTGCTTTCTTCCGTGTCTTTCCCAGTTCATCATTCACAGTTATTCTACAATATGTAATATTCTTCGTTGCTTTAGTCCGCAAGCGAACTGTACCGACCGAGCGACCGCCGCTTGTCGGCGAAGTTAGTGCCAACTTTAGCGGTTAGAGGGTATCGCGTGGTCAGCGCTACGAATCCCCACGGCCTTTAATCTCGGTTTCCTAGACCGGAGCCGCTACTTTCCCATTCAAGTAGCTCACGAGGCTGAGTGGACCCCGTTCCAGACCAACTACACGTACTTTTAAGAAAGTCTGGTAGCGCCGGGAATGTAAGCCGGGACCTCTGGATCTGTAGCCGGAAGCTCTGACCACTAGACCACAGAGGCGTACCATTATGTAAAATACGCAGTTGAAAAATGTTGTGGAATAAACTAAGAATCTCTCAGCGCATGTAATGTGTTCAAGTCATTCGATTTAAAATGCATGTCACTCATCGTTAACGGGAAAACTGATTGTGAGCACTCGCCACTCGTCATAAACAGGTAATAATTATTTGTATTTTCCTTGTAAATCCTGCTCAACTTCATGAAGTTTTGCACCTTTCACGGTGTGGGAAACAGCCTTGTCCTAGCTGAAGGAAACTGCCCAGTCATTGTCCTCAGCGTTGTCCTTGTGTATTCTCCGAATAACAAACAAAAACAATACATGTTGTACCGAATGTGTTACATCATACATCTGTTATCGCAGTACAGATACCAGCTTTCTAGCAACATGCAGTGCAATTGTGAAGTTTTAATTGCTAACAGCTACAAATAACACAGTTTCGCTGAGCCATCTTTTCGAATGCTGTATTTGACGATCACTGTTATGAGAAAAAACACGTTGTAGTAAGACGATATTCTTTAAAAAATCTTAAATACTTTCTCGATCGAGTCAGCATGTAATAAACAAACGAGATAGGTCGCTAATATTTTGTTTACTGTTGCGTTAAGGCCGCGCCATAGCTCAAGCGGTTAGTCGCTGGCTTCCCACCGCGGCGGCCAGGGTTCAAACCCGGGTCCGGTCAAGAGGAATTTGTGGTGGACAAAGTGGCGCTGGGGTAGGTTTTCTGCGAGTACTTCGGTTTCCCCTGCCAATCTTCATTACACCGAATTCTCCATCATCATAATCACCCGGTACAGGTACAATAGGCAAATCAGTGGCCGTCGTACCGAGTGGATCCAACTGGACTCCACCTCCCACTATGCGAATTAAAAAATAATAATTTTTACTGTTGCGTTTGGTACGTGAAAGTCTGAAAGTCTGCAACGCAGCCCGTGTCTTGTAGCTCTGCACTTACAACTATGACGTGTAGTAGAATGGGACGTAGCCCTTACGTTAAATTACATTATATAGCTCATTTATAAGACTCAATAATTCCCGTCCATTATTTATTGAGGTTTCCGTCGTCCTGCCCGCACATTCCTGTATTACAAATTACCACTCTTTAAATGTTAGGAACCGGGCAGCTCAGTCGGTATAGCGGCTGGCTACAGGCTGAACGACCGAAAGGTCGGTGTTCCAGTCCCGGTAGGGTCAAGAATTTTCTTTTCTCCACGTCGTCCAGACCGGCTCTGGGGCTCACCCAGCTTCCTATCAAATGGGTACCGGCGGCTCTTTCCTCAGGGGTGAAGCGGCCGGGGCTTGAAGCTGATCACTCACCTCCAACTAGTGCCGAGGTCAAGAAATATGGCTCTATCCATCCACTCCCCCATACGCCTTCATGGTGTAGTGCTTATTTAGTTAAGCACAGGGAAAACTTTATCTCTTTTTCTTTTTACTGTTAGGGAAGTGAGATCTGGGAGCTTAGGATCTCCAATCACCCGTCTGTCTGTCCTGAACGCGAGGGGCAGACAATCGAAGAGGAAGACAAACGCGCAACTCGCAAGTAACGTACGGGAAGATGGGGCTTCCTTCGCAACTGTAAAAATAGTATCATTTAATAATGGAATGACAGTACGACTAGAGTTGCAGACGTCAGCTCTTTTGTAAAGTGCCATCTGTTGTAAGCAGCAGTAAACAAATGCTTGCAATTCGCTCGTTACATAATGTTATCCAATTGGATTCATTCATATGTTACGCTGTACGTCCCTATTCGCAGTTACAGACGGACAGAGGTGGGAAAGCTATCTCACAGTATGCTTCACAAATTACATTAGTTCGAAGATGAATGTATGGTTTAAGTGCATTACGCTTTTCTGCCTACTCGCCGCACTTTATGTTTTCTAGCCTACACATAAGGACGTGATGACTAACTAGAAATACACGGAACATCAAGGTTAATACAGACTGACCGAGAAGCCTAGAACCAATACTAAGTTCTTTCTTAAATACTTCTTTTTTATCTATTTATGCAGGATTATTTTGTATAAATGCTACCTCACCTGAAAATATTTTATAGCGTTGAAACTAATTTTGAACAGTCTGACAAGTCAGCGAGGGCGGTATTAAATATGTACAAATATTGAAAATTCTTTCGAACGAATTTTTTTATTGCTAATGGAGTGGGACTTAGTCCCTTGTACTGAGGCCACTTCTGGCCTTCTGTACCAGCCCAAGATGAGGGCGAGGGTGATTGTGGAGCAATTAGTGGAATGAAGATTGGCAGGGGAAACCGAAGTACTCGGAGAAAACCTGCCCCAGCGCCACTTTGTCAACCACAAATCCCACTTGACCAGACCCGGGATCGAACCCGCGCCGCGGTGGGAAGCCAGCGACTAACCGCTTGAGCTATGGCGCGGTCCTGTCGAACGAAAGTTGTAGATATTAATGACAGCTGAGTAGTGCACTTAGTAATTTGAGGTTGTCACAGCGGTGGTTATGAAGAGTTCTATCTTCTGGGATATAACGCCGTGCAATCCGTCGAAATTCAACCGACATCTCTGATGAAGATGTCGCCACTATCTTCGATGTTTTCGGTGTTATGTCCCAGAAGGTAGAACTCTTATTACTTGTTGCGAATTCATCTTTCTATACTTTGGACAATATTCTGATACATGAAAACAATTTTTGAATGAGTGGCATGAAAAG